CCCCCAATTTCCAAACTTTAAAAAGTAACGACAACCCTCCCCCAATTTCCAAACTTTAAAAAGTAACGACAACCCTCCCCCAATTTCCAAACTTTAAAAAGTAACGACAACCCTCCCCCAATTCCCAAACTATAAAAAGTAACGACAACCCTCCCCCAATTCCCAAACTATAAAAAGTAACGACAACCCTCTCCCAATTCCCAAACCTTAAAAAGTAACGACAACCCTCCCCGTGAAGGAAACGAAACAAAACAAAACAGAAAAACAGAAATTGGAACAAAAAAAAAAGAAAAAAAAAAGAAGTAAAAACGAAATAATATAAGGGGGAAAATGCACTTCGACATCCCCCCCCCCCCATGCAATGACGGCTAATTCTAAGAACAAACTTACCTGCGTTACACAGAGTGTTTGTAGATTTTTCCAGAGTAGGTGTTAAGGCTTTAATAGAGGGTGAATCGCCGCAGTCTTTGCGTACACACGCAAGTAGCTCTTTGCCGGCTCTGGAAAATGTAACAACAGACAGGAGTTTTTTGTTTGTTTGTCCGTTTGTCTGTCTGTTTATTTGTTTGTTTGTCTGTGTATGTGTGTTTGTTTGTAAGTGTGTGTTTGGTGTTGTTGTTGTTGTTGTTTGTTTTTTTTTGGGGGGGGGGTTGGTAAATGTTTTACGGGGCATGCAAATAATTCAATGCATTAGGTCATATGAGTTAGTGGGACACATCAAATATTTTCACTGCAGTGGTTCCCATACGAAAGGAATTAGTATTGATAGCACTGGTTGCAGGTGTAGCAGCAGTAGCAGCAGCAGCAGTGGTAGCACCATCAGCAGCAGCAGCAGCACCACCACCACCAACAACAACAACAGCAATTACAAAAACGGCAACAACAATAAAAAACGTTTCACAACATATTGAACAACAGTAACAACAAAAACAAGTATAACAAAATGGCAACAACAACAACAACAACAACAACAACAACAACAATAGCAAGAGCAATAATTACAACATGACAACAACCACAAAAACAACAACAACAACAACAACAATAACAAAAACAACAATTACAATATGACAGCAACCACAACGACAACAACCATAACAACAACAACAACCATAACAACAACAACAACAACAACAACAACAACAACAACAACAACAACAACAACAACAGTGCTTGGGAGGAAAAGGGAGACCGGACTTCTTTGACTGGTGACCTATTTTTAGACACGGGGCGAAGTCAGAATCTCTACCTACAATTGCAACAATGACAACAACGAAATTATATAAACAGCAAGAGCAACCACAACATCAGCAAAAAAAGAATAACATCAATATAGATCACCACCACAACAACAACAACATAAATACCGACAACAACATCAATAACAGCATTAGTACAGACGACAACAGCAACATTAATACCGACAATAGCAACAACAACAACAATACCAACGACGACAACAAGAGCAACATCAATACCAACCACAACAACAAGAAAAACAACAACAACAACAACAACAACACCGACGACAAACTATGGGAAAAACCGAGGACTCACTTGCAGACTTTAGCAGTGTCGGTCTCTGTGAGATCCACGGCGTGACATGTAGAGCAGAGGGCTACCAGGCTTGCAGATACTCCCTTTATCTGTCCAGCAAGCACTGTGATAAGAAAGTGAACATACTCATGTTTTACACTCTTTCTAAAATGCTCCCTTCATTTTTTAAATATAGTAATATGCAGTTGTTGTTGTTGGTTTAAAAAAAAATTAATATGGGAGAGACAGAAAGAGAGAGAGAATCAAGACGGTCATAACCGCGTGAGAATGCCTTAGACCAGGGGACTTAAACTCGAGACCCGTGGCCCAATAATTAATTATCTATTAGATCTAACGCTCCCAGTACGGGGATTTCTGTCCCTGCTGATTTTCTTGTTCTTTGGTAAGTGTTTTACGGCGCTCCCAACTTCATATTTATGTTCTCCCCCCCCTCTCTCTCTCTCTCTCTCTCTCTCTCTCTCTCTCTCTCTCTCTCTCTC